GCATATTACCCTTTTACTATATAGAATAGAGGCCTGGTGCATGGGTGGGGGCAGGCTGGTTTGCCCTGAAGGGTGTCCTGGATCAGGGTGGGGTTCCCCACTGGGGTGCCTGGCCAGGCTGGCTGAGGGGCTGAGGGCCGTTTTCCGGTTGGCGGGTGACTGAAGCTCCCAACCACTCCTTTTTTCCTTTTTTTCTTTTTTTTTTTATTCTGGGCCAGCTTTAGCTCTGAGGCCTCGCTGCTGAAAACATTGATACAATGTTGCAGTCCGGCTGGCTGAAGCCCGCCTGACTGAAAGCCGGTTTCTGGGGTTTTGTTTAGCTTCTATATTTGTACATAGTACATAGTTGCTTAGAGTTGCTGCTGAGAGGCTGGCAAGTGCGGGGAACATTGGACTCCGCTGTCACTGGAGCAAGCAAGCCTCCCTGCTCGCTTCAGTGCATGGCTGCCGGCCGCCATCTTGGCTGACAGTTAATTTGCATAAGGATATGCTGATTAGCCAATGGGAAGGGTAGCGGTCGTACGCTAATTACCATGTTTCTCTTTTATTAGTGTAGATTGTTGATGCTGGCTATTGCTCATGGTCTCAGATCTTCTTTGTTTCATCTCTCTGTTTGGGCTGGTTTGGCTTCATAGCATGGTGGCTGCTTTCAAGGGTTAGTGTCCTAAGACAAGAGAGAGGACCAGGTAGAAGAGTATCACCTTTTGTGATCCTTCCTTGGAAGTCCTGTGACCTCATTTATGCTGTATTTTCCTTGTTGAAGCAGTTAGGAATCCTTATGAAGTTGAAGGGAAGAGGAGGGCAGGAAACTGATTCTTGTTGGGGAAGAGTAAATAGAGTTCTGGAAGTTCACTGCAGTGACCATTTTGGAAAATACAGCTTGCTGTAGGCTGAAAATCCTCTTTGGATTTTGCCTCTGTCTTTCAGTGGTAGTTGTAAACCACCTGACACAGTTGGTTGTAACAGCTTCTTTATGGTAAATAATGAAAACAAGAGCACTCTCTGTCTTCTTTCAGTTTGCATAGTTATCTCAGCTTTTAAATGAACAGTTCTCTAACCTTTGGGCTACTCTAACATTATCAAATTAAGGGCAGGTTTTGGTTAAGCTAGATCCCCTCCCCCGAAAAAAGCCCCACCTTTATGTGCATGGACATAGTGAAAAACTTTCATATGAGAAGAGGAGATAGCCCCTTTCAAACATTAATATTATCCTATATAATAAAACCCTAATATGCAAATCGACTGAATGGTGGAACAACCAGTGGAATGACCGGTCACTAAGATGTGCACTGACTACCAGGGGGCAGATGCTCAATACAGGAGCTGGCCCTTGGTGGTCAGTGGGCTCCCACAGGGGAGCACCGCTCAGCTACAAGCCAGGATCACAGCTGGCAAGCACAGTGGTGGTAGTGGGAGCCTCTCCCGCCTCCACAGCAGTGCTAAGGAGCAGTGAGCAGGTGGGGGTAAGGAATGAGGGGTCCCGGACTGCAAGAGGGCACAGGCTGGGCTGAGGAAACCTCCCCCCATCCCGTGCACAAATTTAATGCACCGGGCCTCCAGTTAGTAAATGAAAACTAGATGTTCTGATAAGTTTTACTACATAGATAAGCAAAAATGAGTTAAAAGCCTTAAGTTGAAAAATACATATTGAAGATAATACTAAACTTAGAATTAAAAAATAAATCACTCATTAATTTTACTTCCCTTAATACTATCTTCTTTCTGCCTACATTACAAACTAAGTGGTAGAATTTCTTCATTTATGGGTGGGTCACAGGACATTTGCATGTTACAACTATCTCCCTCATCCTGGTTACCTCAGAGTGAATGTGATTCTTAAGATATATCAGGGCCTTAAGTTGAGGTCTTGAACCTTGGTGTATTAACATTTATGTTAAAATACCTTCCACAGCCACAGGCAGGTAGTAAGTGCTCAAAAAGTACCAGAGTATCTCTGTTTTCTAAGGACTTATAACTGGAATGGGCATTGACCAAGGTGAATCATGTATGTGTATGCCACTATAGCCTTTTCCCAGTTCATTTTTTTTCCATGTGCAGTCAGGGACAAAGGGAAAGCCCAGGTGTGATATAGTCTGTTTGAGTTTACAAGTAACCCCATTTTTTCTCAGGTTTTTGAAAATGAAGATGTCCTATAGTTCAGAGGTCAGCAAGCAACAGCACATTGGTCCCAATCAAGCACTGCTAGTTTTTATATTCTTTTCAGAAAAATAAAACCCTATCTTGTAAATGTCAGTGTCACAAAAATTTATCTGTGCAATGCCCTCAAAGGATTTGAAAAAATATAAGTCCTCTGGGAGTTAATAAATCAAATATATATGGAAAAAGGAAATGGCCATGGTCCTCTTAAAAATTCAGATGGCTACAATTTATGCAGGTCTTGACTAATCCCAATCATCTCCTTAACATCTGTGGAAGGAATTCCTCACCAAGAAGGAGAAAGGCAGTTATAATTGAAACATGGGTTGGGGTGTGTCGCAGAGGCAAACATTGATAGTGTCCATTGTGTGATTGTTACAGAATTTACCAGGTGACCGAAAATTACACAGGCATACTTGGAGGTCCAGGATAAACCCATTTATTTTCAGATGTTTCACATGTATTAGTACAGTGACTCAGGGGGTCAGTTCTCCAAATCCTGAGTAAGCCAATATGGATGAAGCTTTCTCTTTATACCCTTTGGTTTCTTTGTCTCCCATATATGGATCATACTTCCAGGTCTTTCACGGGCTTTGCAAAAAGCCCCATGTGTTGGGATGGGGGACGTGAGACCACAACTAAAGGCCTGACCTGGTGTCAGCACTGATAACCCCCTCTGGGGGTTGTGTATTGTTCATGATTTATGGCTTCTATAAAATGTGAGTATTTAGGTAAATAGGTCTTGCAAGACCAGATAATTAAGGAAGGGGCAGTGACTAGACTATAGGCCAGTGATGGCGAACCTTTTGAGCTCGGCATGTCAGAATTTTGAAAAACCCTAACTTAACTCTGGTGCCGTGTCACATATAGAAATTTTTTGATATTTGCAACCATAGTAAAACAAAGACTTATATTTTTGATATTTATTTTATATATTTAAATGCCATTTAACAAAGAAAAATCAACCAAAAAAATGCGTTCTCGTGTCACCTCTGACATGCATGTCATAGGTTCGCCATCACTGCTATAGGCTAACAGGAATGTACTGATTAACTAGGTACAGAGTCAGGCTGCTGGTCTCCCCCCCAAAAATGTCTTAATTTCCTCAGCATGATTAGGGATACATTTGCTGCAAGGGACTACACTTGACTACAGGTTTAAACACCTGGGGTTTATTTTGCTCATGTAACAAGAAATTAGAGGGAGACAGTTGTTTGTGGCATTCTTTCGGCTGCTCACAATGGCAAAGTTGATGGCCTTGAAATTCCATTTATCTTTTAGCCAGCAGTGCTTCTCCTGAACTTGTAGAATGCTAAGAGGTGAAAGGGATCTAAGAGGTCATCATGTCTGACTTTACATTATATTTAGAAATCCCGTCTTTGATGTCTCTGAAAGGTGATGCATTAGTCCCTATTTGACTGTGTTTAGCAGTGGAGCTCTCAGTACTCAGAAGACACTGTTCCATTGATAAAACACTTGCTAGAACATTGTTCTCATATAGTGAATTAAGTAGGACTTTTTCTTTTTTTCCAGAAGTGATTTCAGGTCCAAGTGCTGGATATGCTGCATTCAGAAAAAAAGCCACTAAGTATTGGCCAGATTCTTTTTTTCAGGATCTTACAAGAGTTACAAAGCAGCCCTACATCCCCAACCTCATATTCTATAAGAAATACCTGTAGGGAAAAGGTGAGAGAATAGGGCAGTGATGACGAACCTATGACACGCATGTCAGAGGTGACACGTGAACTCATTTTTTTGGTTGATTTTTCTTTGTTAAATGGCATTTAAATATATAAAATAAATATCAAAAATATAAGTCTTTGTTTTACTATGGTTGCAAATATCAAAAAATTTCTATATGTGACACGGCACCAGAGTTAAGTTAGGGTTTTTCAAAATGCTGACACGCCGAGCTCAAAAGGTTTGCCATCACTGGAATAGGGACTTCTATAACAAGCCACCTAAAGTAGGGTTTCAAAATGAAGGGTACTCATAACATAGGTAGCCAAGTACTTCACTCCTTGTCTTGTAAGCTGGGAACCCATAGACCCATCCCAGTGATGTTTCCTTCAGAGATAGCTTGTTGTGTGTACCCTGGATTTTAGTAGCATCCATGAGCATAGAGGCTGAGGCCTACTTCTTATTTGTAGATTTCTGAAGGAGGGAGTCTTGAGGGAATAGTCTGGGGTAAGTAGAGATTCTGTTGCCATTTGCCTGGAAAGGTGAAAAGAGGTCATCACTGTGTCAGCTAGCTATTGTGAGTACCCAATATTTAGTGGTTTAATTAATAAGCATTTATTGTTGTTCAATAATATACAGGGAAATTGAGAAGTTCTGGTCTGGGTCAGGCTATGCTGATCTTGACTGAACTTGCTCATTAGTACACACTTAGCCCTGTGGGTCAGTTGGGAATGACTGGTCTAGGACAGCTGTACTGGTCTAGGAATGGCTCACGTCCATGTGGTCTCTACTTCCCAAGCCTGTTAGTCTCATGGTGGCAGGGCTCTGAGAAAGTCAAAGCATGCAGAACTGCTGAGCCTTTGTGGGTGGTCTAGGCTCAGAACTGGGACACTGTCACTTCTTTCACATTCTATGTCCACAGTTGAGTGGAGATTGGGGGGGTGGGGACAACAAATCCCTTTCATGATAATATCAAGTTGACAAAACTAAGTAGAGCATTTTCACTTAAATTATATGGAAATCAGCCTCCTTTCATCTTCAGCCTGATGGTTAGACCCGATTTTTCCCACTAAAGCAACACACACATCTACTCCCCCTTATCACATGACAGATCCCCAAATATTCACAACTATCCTGTGTCTTTTTTCTTTTCCATTCTCCAGATCCTTCAATCATTTCTCCAATGACATGCTTTGAAGCTGAAGCCATCAAGGTCACTGTAGTTGAGACCCAATCTGACTTGTCATTTTTTTTTCTTAAAACATGATATTCATAATAGTATGTGACATTGAATTTATTTTGACAACGGCTGTTAGCAGTAGGATTATGTTTTATTTTCTTGTTTTGCTTTAATCTGAACTCTGTGATTTTATTTATGTACCCAAATGTAGCTTTTGGGGGAGTTGAATCACACAGTTGGTTTATATTGATGGTTCAGTGAATTCTCCCAGTTCTTTTTTATACTGACAGCAGCTAAACCAAGATTTACCCATCCAGTACCTATACAGTATATTTAGAAATGTTTACCTCTTCCTTAGTCAACGGCTTATCATCCTTGAGATGATATTTGTGCTTAGGTACCTGATAAGGTAAGGTCCCTTTAACACTGTTGAAGAGAGCCTTTAATTAATTGTATTTCCCAATGGACAAAAAATCTCTGGGTTGTTGTGGTCTTTGAATCTTTGTCTCCTGGGAATACTGGGAAATGAATGTTATTAATTTATTAGCTCCTATAATGCAGAATGTCTGCTTTTTACTTTTCCTTATATTTGGGAAACAAAATATTTAAAAATCAACAATATTTTAAACAAAGTCATAAGAATAATTATTCTTAATTCAGTTAGTTCATAACTACTTTTGTTTATTCTGATTATTTGCCAGTATTTTTTTTGAGCAGAGTTATTCCTTGAAGTTTTATAAATCTTCATCCAGTTCAAAGATATGAATGACCTGCTTAGAAGCTTGCAAGTCAGAGTAGGTCAGAGTCCTTTTCATGGATTTTTCTAAAGATATACCTGCAAATGCATCAGAGTAAAGCAATGACTGTCCATGAATGACAAGACTTAAAAGCAGCATGGTTATAGATTTGATTATAATGCAATTGATAAAAACTTTGCTTTTCTATAAGATATAACATTCCAAGACAACAATTTCTTGGTAAATAATAATTACTATAAAATATATAGAAAATGTAAAATCTGTATATATGTAGATTCAATATATAATTTTAGCATATAAAGAAGAAATATGTAAGATTTTAAAACATGGGACATGGCTTATTGCAAGGGGTATGTTGAGCATTGAAAGTAATTCATAAACTTCCACTATGTGAAACACAAATACCCAGAGTATCACCAGCAGATGCCCTCTCCCCCCCGCCCCCACCTCCCCACCAAGGAATCATTTTTGGCTTGCCTGGTGTCCTGGACCGGACACCTGCTACCCCTGAGAGTTTTCTGTTTGAACTTGGCTCTGAATCTTTGCAAGTTCCTTTCTGAAAGAGACTGAAAATTCTATAACATTCATTTTAACAAAATATATGTATATAAACAGAACATAGTTATTATTAATTTTTATTTGACAAAGCTTCCCATGTAATTTCAAGTATATTAAATTAGCCTAATTTAGTTTAAAAGTATTTCTTTTAAGAAGAGAGAATAAATCCTTTAGTTATTCCAGGGCCCATTGGAATGGCTCAAAGTCATCTCTTGGTTAAAAGTCTTAAAATTTAAACTTTGGAAAGATTGTCAAAAAACTTAACCAAAAGATTATATCATAAACTCTTTGTAAATCTAGGAAAAAACATGTATTTTATGGTAATAACTCTAAAAGACATTAATCAAACTTAAGCCAGTTTTAATATTAAAATATTTGTCCAGACCACAGAATTCTGCTTAATTTATATAAGTATTTAATCTTTTTTATTTAATTAGGCCAATAAAAGGTTATATCCTAGTAATGCCATCCAGAGGCTGAAAATTTACTACAGGTAATACACAGACAAACACATGCCACATAAAGACCATATACATAAATACCATAGCATAATTCGAAATACTAATTTTTGTCCGGAAAATGCAAGATTATTTTTTTCCTCTCAAAAATGAATCTCCATACCTCATGCATTCTATTATCACAACCATATAATGTATCCCTACTTAATTTGAATTTTTAACACTTAGAAGCCTCAATTTCCAATAATAACAAAAATAAAATAAGTGACCAGCATTCCTTAGATTGATGTTTATGAACACATTTTAAACACACTCTCACTTTTAAGAAACACACCTCACGCACCAGATATTCTGTCAAAAGTTCAAATCCATTTTACAGACTTCGGCAATAAAGACAAAAGCAGGCGAATTTAAAGACCTATTTAGCAATCAATGTTTCAGTATTTCATGTTATTTCAAAATATCTAGAAATTCAATAACCTTAATTAAAATGTACTAATTTAGAAAGGAATAGTTGAAATAAGTTAAAAGTGATTTGTTTAGGGGGCTATTTTCCAAAGATTTATACTTTAAAAATGGCCCAGACTAGAGTTCCTGGTATTTGCATTTCAAAAGTCCTGGACCTTTGGTTTTGGAAAGCCAATTATAGCATTTTGAACTGAATAGGGGAGATTTAAGGGAATGTAAAAGGAAGGATTTAGTGGGCTTTGATATTCTGAGTCACACACCTCTTGTTACAGAATTTACCAGGTGACCAAAAAATATTCAGGAGTATCGGAGGCACAGGAAAACCCATTTATTTTCAGATGTTTTGCATGTACTAGTACAGGACTCAGGGGAGACTGTTTCTCTCCAAATCCTGAGCAAGTCAATATGGAGGAAGCTTTCCCTTTATACCCTTTGGTTTCTTTGTCCCCCAAATATGGATCATACTTCCAGACCTTTTGCTGGCTTTGCAAAAAGCCCCCTGTGTTGAGATTGGGGCAGTGAGACCACACCTAAAGGCCTGGCCTGGCACCAGTGCTGATAACTCCATCTGGGGGTTGTGTATTGTTCATGGTTTATGGCCTCTCTAAAATGGGAGTAGTACTTAGGTAAATAGGTCTTGCAGGCCCAGATAATTAAAGAAGGCGCAGTGATAAACTATAAGCTAACAAGATTGTTCATTAGGTTACTGGCACAGATTCAGATTGCTAGGCCCCCCAAAATGTCTCATTTTCTCCATCATTCTGACCCTGTAAACACTGCATAGTAAAACAAGGACAGTACTTTAATTCCTCAAGGATTGGCAAATGTTGGCAAAAGGCCTAACAAATTTACCCATTTTGAAATGTTTCTTTCTATTTGAGTATATTTTTCTCTGAAGCTCTGTAGCAATTACAGAGAGATCTAGTTTACAGGTAGCATATATCTGAGTGCCATTTCTGACTCATAAAGGCTTGCATGTATGGAAAAGACACATTGATCTAAGAAGGCTTCTTTCTCCATTCACTTCCCTGGGAATTAGAAAACAGACCTAGCTGCAGGCAGGGTAGCATTTAACTTAGTGGTACCATTAACTGGCCAAACCTCTTCATTGTCCACTTTATAGTGGGCATCACTAATTTTAAAAATCTCTATCTGGTTAATTGGGACCGAATTGACCAGTAAAATATGTTGCCCCTTAACATGCCCTAATTGAAAGGGGACAGGTTCTGATTTGAAAACAGCCATTTGTTGCTTAGACACCCCTACCATTTGTACAGAAGCTTTACTCTGAGGAAGGGGGAAACTTAGATGGGTAGGGTTAATAGCAGACAAAGTAGCCCCAATATCTACAAGGGCCGTAGTAACTTCCCCTTTTAAAAAAATTTTGTTTTATTGATTAAGGTATTACAAAGAGTATTACATATGTATCCTTTTTTTCCCCCTTGACCTTCCCCTGGCCTCCCCTACCCCCCAGTGTCTTCTGTCCATTGGTTATGCTTATATGCATGCATACAAGTCCTTTGGTTGATCTTTTAACTGCCCCCAACCCTCCCCGCTGTAGTTTGACAGTCTGTTCCATGCTGCTCTGCCACTGTATCTATTTTGTTCAGCAGTTTATAATGGTCTTTATTATCCATAAATGAGTGAGATCATGTGGTATTTTTCTTTCGTTGACTGGCTTATTTCACTTAGCATAATGCTCTCCAGTTCCATCCATGCTGTTGCAAATAGTAAGAATTCCTTCTTTTTTAAAGCAGCATAGTATTCCATTGTGTAAATGTACCACAGTTTTCTAATCCATTCATCTGCTGATGGACACTTAGGCTGTTTCCAGATCTTCGCTATGGTAAATTGTGCTGCTATGAACATAGGGATGCATATATCCTTTCTGATTGGTGTTTCTGGTATCTTGAGATATATTCCTAGAAGTGGGATCACTGGGTCAAATGGGAGTTCCATTTTTAACTTTTCGAGGAAACTCCATACTGTCTTCCATAGTGGCTGCACCAGTCTGCATTCCCACCAGCAGTGCACGAGTGTTCCTTTTCCTCCACATCCTCTCCAGCACTTGTCGTTTGTTGATTTGTTGATGATAGCCATTCTGACAGGTGTGAGATGGTACCTCATTGTTGTTTTGATTTGCATCTCCCGGATGATTAGTGATTTTGAGCATGTTTTCATATGTCTCTTGGCTTTCTGAATGTCCTCTTTTGAAAAGTGTCTATTTAGGTCCGTTGCTCATTTTTTTTTATTGGATTGTTTATCTTCCTTTTGTTAAGTTGTATGAGTTCCCTATAAATGTTGGAGATTAAACCCTTATCAGTGATAACATTGGCAAATATGTTCTCCCATGCAGTGGGCTTTCTTGTTGTTTTGTTGATGGTTTCTTTTGCTGTGCAGAAGCTTTTTATTTTGATGTAGTCCCATTTGTTTATTTTCTCTTTAGTTTCCAATGCCCTAGGAACTGTATTGGTGAAGAAATTGCTTCGGCACATGTCTGAGATTTTGTTGCCTTTGGATTCCTCTAGTATTTTTATGGTTTCCTGTCTTACATTTAAGTCCTTTATCCACTTTGAGTTTATTTTTGTGTATGGTGTAAGTTGGTGGTCTAGTTTCATTTTTTGCATGTATCTGTCCAATTTTCCCAACACCATTTATTGAAGAGACTGTCTTGACTCCATTGTATATTCTTGCCTCCCTTGTCAAATATTAGTTGAGCATATTGGTTCGGGTCTATTTCTGGGTCCTCTATTCTATTCCATTCATCTATATGTCTGTTCTTGTGCCAGTACCAGGCAGTTTTGAGAACAGTGGCTTTGTAATACAGCTTGATATCTGGTATTGAGATACCACCTACTT